GCTGGAGAAAGGTCTGACCACGACTGCTGATGGTGCTGGCCAGAGTACCCCGGGAGGCCAGCGCGACAGCAGGGCTCCGCCAAGTGCAGGTATGTGTGGGAAATGCCTTGCTTGCTAACGATGCCTGCTCCGGGTGGGGGAGCAGGCGCAGTGGTCCGCGAGCTCGTACCTGTCGCTCCAGCTTGCGGGAGGGCGGGCCCCGCGGCCAGGCCTCCCTCGACTCAGAAAACCTCCGGATTCCGGGTTCGTGTCACAATGATCTTGGCTGTCAGTTTCCCAGGGTCTAATGGCAAAGGTCCCAAAAGACCACGCTCGAGACACACTGCAGCTCAGTTAACTGAACACACCGGAGGGGTCTCCCCTGCGAGGGGAACTCCCCGAGAACACCCCCCTGAGGCCAAGGCTCTGTCCTCAAACAAAGCAGAAGGGGCCAGAGGGCTGAACAAAGCAGACATGTGAAGGACGGGGTCAGTGGGGGCAGCAGTGGGGACTGGCTGAGCGCGAGTGACCGCAGGAGGCCAGATCTGTGATTTGGACTGCTTTCTTATTTCTGTTCGAAATTAGGAACTTTCCTGGTTTAACGCGGATGATAAAAGGCTTACACTCACGTTTTCTTTAAAACACAGGTGTGACATAGTCAGCCTGTACCGTCACTATAATTTAATGGTAACAACTGGAATCGTCCTCCAACGTCTTCTAGTCTGAGAAGGAAACGACCCCATGGCGGCTGGAGAGACCCGCGCGGGGGAAAGTGGGTTTCCCTGAGCAGGCCCGCGGGCCTCAGCGCACCCCAAGCGAAGTCAGCGTGAAACCACCTGCCACCTGCCGAAAGGATTCTCGCCCTGCTCTCTCCCTTGTCCAGGAGTGTCCGTCGCATCTCTTCATTCACAAGCATCTGCCCACAGGAAGCCCGGGGCAGCCTCCTACCCTGGACCCCCACACAGGAGCACAGGTGGGCCAGGGCGCAGCCACGTGACCAGAGGCAGCCAATCAGAGCCTGTCCCCGCCTCCTCGGCTCCGGGTTGGGCAGACGCGGGAGCCGGCTGGACACTGCAGGGGCACGAGGTGTTGAGGCGGACAGCTGCGCCGGGGTGCACACCGCAGCCCCCGGGGACACGCGGGGCTGGGGGCCATCCAGGTCATGTGTACCTGGCAGTCTGTCTGCGGGAGGAGAGCAGAGCGAGCGGAGAGAAGGGAGAACGGATGGATAGGAGGGGAAGGAGGCAGGAGCGGCCTCTTGCTTGTCCAGCCCACAGCGTGTCCAGCAGTGCCTCCTCCACCCTTCCGCCAAGGCTCCGCTCTCCGCTCCAGGCCTTTTCTGTTCTTAGCCAGAAGCACTCTCTGCCCGAGGGAGCACTGTTTCCCAAGTTGGACCAAGCCTTTTTTTTTAAAAAGATTTATTTATTCATACAGAACTGGGGTACAGGCCAGAGGTGCGGAGGGTGAGAGTATTCACCGGAGACAGAGTGGGGAGACAGCTGTCCGCCTCAACACCTCGTGTCCCCGCAGTGTCCAGCCGGCTCCCGGGTCTGCCCGACCTGGAGCCGAGGAGGCGGGGCCAGGCTCTGATTGGCTGCCTCTGGTCACGTGGCTGAGCCCTGGCCCACCTGTGCTCCTGCGTGGGGGTCCGGGGTAGGAGGCTGCTCCCGGGCTTCCTGTGGGGGACTGCTGAGGGGAGCAGCAGGCGGGTCAGGAAGGGTCTGCCGCACCCTGAGGGTCACCTCCGGGGCAGGCGGGGATCGAACTCACGCGCAAGTGGCTTAAGCTTCTCAGTGCTGCGCTGTAACCCGCTGAGCCGCCAGGGAGGGCCCTGGACCAAGATTTTTTTTTTTTGTATCGATGTTAAATCGGCTTCCGCTTCTATATTAATTTCATTTTGCTTTTATCACAAACACTTCTGTGCTTCTCTCTCATGAGGATTTAAAACATAAGCACATGGGTAGCTTACAGCTGAGACTTGAAGCCCTCTCTGTATTCGTGACAGGCCGTGTGGCCCTTTTGAGCAGTTTTACCCAGAATTGGAACACGGGGTGGTTGGGAAGACATTTCCCTTCTACACTCTTCTAATCGCCACTTGCAGAAGAGTCCCACGTGGTTCGCTTTTAAGTCACTCACAGCATGAGCGACGTTGGAAACACGCGGAGCCCGCCGGTGGGCTATTTTGGAATTGACGCGTCCTGTCTGCCTAGAGCAAGCTCGCCCCAGCCCACCTGAGGCCTCCCACACCGCAGCATCCTGAACTCGCCATGGCTGGAGACAGGAAGAGGTCACGGGGGAGAGAGGCAGTCAAAATCCCTCAAAAGCTGGAGTCATGCCTCAGCCAGCGGTCATGTTCAGCGTCCAGGAAGCCTCACCCGAGCGCCCTACTTCCGGAGACCTGCGCAGCCCAGAGCTTGTCAGACTGGGGCCCCGGGAGCCCCCAGCCAGCCACCCAGGGTGGACTTTGGGTTTCAGCCACTGGAGGTGATGGTCAGGAAACCGAGTGAGAGAAAAGGGAGCCCACCTCATTAAACAGTGTGCACTAAGTGCTTTAGATCTCGCACCTTCTTTTTAGCCTCAGGAAAACTCTAACCATTGGTCCATACTCTCTTAAAAGGTGAGACAGTAAATATTCGAGGTCTCTGTTGTGAATTACTGGGCGTTTGTGTATGTTCCTTTGGTTCACAAGACTTTAAATATGGAGGAGCCGCGCTGACCCCATGGTCCTCGTGAAGCCGCCGCGGGCTGGTGTCCCCAGCACGGGCATTTCCAGTGATATTTACGGGTTTTGGGGGATGGACAGCTCGCTCTTTACCAACGAAGCTCATGTGGCAGTTGGACACTTCTAGAATTCTTTGTCCTAGTGAGCCAAGTTTTCTTCTCCTTTAATCTCCACTGGTATTTACTTCCGACCTCAAGAACCGGCAACTCCCTTCTTTCTCAGAGCCTTTGAAATAGATGAAGTCTCTCTCTTTAGGAAAATAGTCCTGCTAATTTCATCCTAATTCGACATGAAATGCTTCTCAGACCCCTCACTATCTCGAAGCCCCCCGGGCTCCTCCCTGCCTGTGCCATTCCTAAGACTCGGCAGTGGGAACTAGCCACGAGCCGGCTGGATGGGCCCCGCGCCGTGTGAGGCCGATGGCACGACATCGGCGGGGCAGCAGGCCCGTGGTCAGACCACCTCAGCTTTGGGTCAGGGTTCTTGTTCTTAGGCTGCCTCGCATCTGGGGCTTGCAGTAATTGCCATCAAAAATTGCAAATATTTATTTTTAATGGAAGTTTAGGTTCCTATAATCAAATGCAGTCGAACGTTCCAGGCAGGGCTTGACAATCATTGCATGAGGGAGTGCCAGCAAATTCTTTCTATTTCTGTGAAGTGAGCGTAAAACCCGTTGGGAGGAAACCTGCCCTTTAGTATATGAAACAAGCATAGACCCCCCTCGGGGTGAGGCAGGAACACTCTAGATGCAAGGGAAAGCGGGGATTGCAAAGGAGAGGTGGCCTGGACCCCTACTCCCAAGAGGCTCCGTCCATATATGGGCCAGATGGCTCTTCTCGTGTCCACACTGGCAAACCATTTACCCCCGAGGAAGCGTCTTGAGCAAGTGTGCAATCTGCTGGTGCCTTCCCACTTGGGCAGCTTTCCCTTCTTCCCAGAGGTGCCACTTGGGCAGCTTTCCCTTCTTCCCAGAGGCGGCTCGTGGGGCCGGCACCCAGACCAATTTGGGGGCGAGGGTGAGAATTAAAGGAAGGGAGTTGTGGGTTTATTGGGAAAATCCACTTATATTTGGGGCACCATGGAGAGAGCACACTGGATGTTATGAAGCGCGAAAGGGAAGTTGAGCAAGGACCCTCCTAGGTAAGGTAACCCCCCTTCACGCAGACCCTTAATCGCTGGTCTGGGTCCCTGTGCTGCTGCGCAAACTAAAAAGTGAGTCACCTATCAACGGGGCATCTCCTCTGTCTCCCTAAGGAATCCTCGGATTTTCCCAGGCTGAGAATGCACGCATTTTCCTGACTGCTTTTGCTGAAGAAAGGGGATCATGGGATTTGAGGAATTCTCAGCTGTCCCGGATGTCAGCAACCACCGGGAGTTCCTTGTTTCCTTGTAACTTCTACCTTCCAACCTAGAAGCCACACGAGGTTCGCCTCCGCAGCCCTGGCCCTGGAAGTAATGGACTCCAGAAGCAGGGCCAAGTTCTGCTCTGGAATCCGTGCAGGGTGGTCAGCCGCAGGCCCCAGAAGGCCCGGCCTCTAGTCATCCCCACCCTTGCTTCTCACTCGCTGAAACCTTTAGGAAAGAAGACAGACCCACATTCCACAGAGATGTCGAGGACACAGAGGCAAGATGGGTGAGAACATCAGTTTAAACAATAATTAGATGACGTCCCTTTAAATTCCCCACCGCCTGCTGCAGTCAGGGGGCAGGCTTCTGGAAGAGACGGGCAGGAAGGGCAAAGGAGTCTTCTAAAACTCAATCTTTAGGGCCCTCCCTGGTGCAGCTGGTTAAAGTGCAGCACTAAGAAGCTAAAGCCACCTCGGCATGAGTTTCATCCCTGCCCCGGAGGTGACCCACAGGCTGCGGCAGACCTCTCCTGACCCACCCGCTGCTCCCCTCGGTAGTGTGCTTCATCAATCCGCCTGTTCTGCTCTCCATTCTGTCTCTGGTGAAGCCTCTCACCGCCCCTGCACCTCTAGCCTGTACCCCAGTTCTGTATGAATAAATAAATAAATCTTTAAAAAAAAAACTCAATCTTTAAATCATTTGGCACCTAAATCCTTAACTAACCCACCTCACCGAGGTGGGTGGAGCCTTTTGCATGGGGTCCTGAGGATTGTCTCCCAAGGTGGGGGCTCAGCATGAACCCCACTGCTGCCCTCACTGCGTCTCAGGGCACAGGAAGAACATACCATCCACTGCAGTCCACAGCTCTGCACACTACCACAAGATGCTCATTAAACAGCACCCTCACTCCAAAGAGTCCCACACACACTGATTTAGTGAACAAGTACAAATTGAGCAATTTTAATCAATGTTTTGCAGACAAGTGTGGATGTGTATATGCATATATACATATATATATATATCAATATTGAGAATTTACAAATTGGATCTGATACATTTGGTCTAGCTGTGAGCAAGTCCATGGGGCACACCTGAAGGGCTATGTTTCCTTTGGTGGTGCTGTGACTTATTTAGTTCTACAGCGCACAAAGAACCCGGAAGGTGAGTTCAGTGTGTCGGAGGAGCCCAGTGAGAAAGGAGGAAGCGTGCTGCCTTCCATGAAGCCAGCACAGCACAGCATGTGAATTTTGTCCATAGAAAGGGTGAAAACTGCACGGAATCAGAGGCACCTCCTATGTGCTTCTGCTGCCTGAAGCAAAACAAGAGAAGCAAAGTTACCAGCAACTAACAATGAATCTGTGTGAAGTCCAGGCTGGGAAGTAGGACTGAGTTCCAGACAGAAGATGCCCAAAAGGTCCAGTGTCCATCATGTGACTGACAGCTGAGGCTGGGTGGAGGCTTGGGACAGTCTTTCTTGTCCTGCTCACACCCCCTAGTGCAAGTTAGTCAGGGACCGGGGAGGGCGAACATTCACTAGGTCCTTCTGTGGTTACCACTTGCCAGGAATGGAGACTCCACACTCGTACCAGCCCACATAGTAGTAAGGGGTCCCAAAGCCAATGTTGCCAAAGCTGACGGGCTCCTGGCGGTACTGGCGATGATAGCCTGGAGGGATTAAAGAAGGAGAGGAGAGAAAATGCATCCATGACACGGCGGTTTATGATAGGAAGGATACTTGGGCTTTGTTCCCACCTCCTGGCACAGAACTCTTAAAATCTTTGGAATTTCCTAAGTGGTAAGAATGATAATGTCTCGATATTCGCAATCAACTCCTTTAGACCACACCTGAGTTATGTTAATGCTTTTGAAAGCACCTAAGGATGGGGGCTGGTCATCAAGGAACCGGCCACATGAATGGGGGGGGCTGAACTTTTAGTCCCACCCCCCTGAGCTCCAGAGGAGCAAGAGTTTGAGTTCAGTCACCAATGGGCTATGATTTCATCAATCATGCTATGTAAGGAAGCCTCCTTAAGGATGTGATTTGGAAGGTGAACGGGGTGGGGGGGTGGTGGTGTAGGTAGACCAGCAGTCCTGACAGGCCTGGGCACTCCATGCCTCTCCCTGGCACTCTCTTCCATCTGGCTGCTCCTGGGTTTCATACATTTTATAATGAACTGGCATCTAGTAAAGTAAAATATTTCTCTGAGTTCTGTAAGTTATTCTAGCAAATTAATTGAACCTGAGGAGGGGGTCTGGAGGCCCCAACCTATAACTGATGGGTCAGAAGCACAAATAATAACCTGGGCTTGCAGCTGGCACCTGAAAAGGGGTGGGAAGAGGACTCTTGTAAGACTGAGCCTTTCACCTGGGAGATCTGATACCAGGACTGGGAAGACAGTGTCAGAATTTAATTATAGGACACCTAGGTGATGTTGGAGAAGCACTTCATGATGGAAAACACACATTCAAGGTCAGTGTCAGAAAAGTAGCGCTGGATGTGTCCAAGCCAAAAGGAGCAATTCTCATGCTTAGAGCCTGCTTCAGTTCTCTTCTCTCTCTCTGCCCAACAGAAGATGCAGGCCAGCAGCTCCGGAGCTCACTGCAGAGCAGGCCCTGAGCTGAGGACAAATACAAGTGACTGGAGTCTCCTGAGTCCCCACATAGCCCAGTTCTTTGTGGCTCACCTACGCTCAGTCCTCCAAGGTTCACTTCATGGGATCTGTGCTAGACTTTCAGATCTCTCAAGTAAATCTCTCATAGGAAACACTACTTATGATCATTTCTCCCTTGAAGTAGAAATGTGATGGTCCAACCTCTGTTGCCTTTGAACTTCAGGCCGGTTCATGCTTTACAGATGAGAGGTTACCTGCCATACTACCAGTGAGAGCACTGACTAACCAGCAGCCTCTGTTCAGAGCCAAAGCTGGACCGGTCACAGAAACACTTTGAAAGATGAGTCAAGCATAGAATAGTAACGCTGGGGTGCCAAAGAGCCTGAGATGATTAACAAGTGGGATGTGCTTCATATATTTAGCGTGATGGTTACTCTTATGTGTGAGCGTAACTAGGCTATGGTACCTAGGTACATTCAGCTGTTTCTGTGAAAGTATGAGTCAGATGAAATGAATGATTACATCAGCAGACCTTGATTTTAGTAAAGCACACTCCGCAGTGTGACTGGACCTTTCCCGTCAGTTGATGGCTTCAGTAAAAGAGGGCTGACACCACCCCCACACCAAAGAGGGAGGCTCTCTGCCGTGCATGCACTACTTTGCATGCTTCCTGTGACAGCAGCCCTTGCCTGGGTCTCTGGCTGTTGGTCAACTTGCAAGCTGGACTTGCCAGCCTCTGCAATCTAATGAATTGGTTCAGTTTTTCTGGAGAGCCCTGAGTAATACATGTATTTTATCCTGTTTTGTGTATTTGACTATATTCTAATTCTCTGGAAGTGGTAGCTTGTATGCCACCAATGCTAATTTCCTCCAAAATAAGAATGTTGATAGATCAGACCATCGCAGGTCATGAAAAGTTCAGACCACAAGACAAGTGCATCGTAGGAGAGTGTTAGACTTCACTCATTTCTACTTCTTTGTTGGGTTGAGGGTTGGGTGAGTTGAGAACACATACCAAGTTGTTCTCATGTCTAGTGTTGCCATGACTCAACAGTTGAGACATTTTCTCTTGAAGCACATCATGGCTGCTTTGCATTTATCTTTCTTTCTCTATCATTGGCATTGCCTGCCTCGAAGGGCCTCCAACCTTCACATTCCTAGGTAGAAACTGCCACTGAGCCCAGACTGCCTTTTCTGATAACGCTCGCTGAGACCCCCAGTGGGCCTTCTGACTGCCCATGCAATGCCGCACAATGACCTGGCAAAGGGAACGTTTTTGGATGTAACCCTGTCATTCTCTACATTTAAATTGTTTGCTCTTAGTTAATTTTACAACTGTGATTTTCCTCTCCTCAGTTGTGGAGCATATAGCTGCAAAGTCTTAGTCTCCCCGATATCCCATTTTAGCACATGGTGGGACTATTTTGTCAATTCCTTAGTTTTATGCTTCCATGTACCACCAATATCCATCTTCAAGTGGTAAAACAAGGCAACACTACCATGAATTTCCCCTACACTAGCCCTCTGCTTCATCTCAGTGCATCAGGCCTTTGTTGACATTACCTGGAATGTTAGGGAGATTTTCTAGGTAGGAATGAGGCCCTGTCCTTCCATCAAGGTGAGAGTCCACAAATTGGCAATGGTCTTCACCTCTCCCCCAGCTGTCACCGATGCTGTAGAATGTATCTGAATAAAGAATATAACAAGTCAGGAACTAGTCAAAAGCTGTCACAACTTGTTTGCACAAACTTTGGAGACCACTTGAATTGGATGCATTACTTAAATTCTATGTGCTATACTTTCCATGTGTGAGCAGCAGTGCTAATGGCACCATCTTCAATAAGTGTTGCAAGGATTCAGTGAGATCATGAATGCTAGCTACATATGTGTTCAATAAATGAAATCTTCATATTATAGCAAATTTTCAGGTTATAACTGGTAGAACTTAGTTTAAAAAAGGAATAAACTATGGTAATCACAGAATATCTTATAATATAATTATGAAAGACAGGAAGATCTAAAGAGCAGAAGGACTGTTTTCAGATCTAAGTAGCAGTGGGGTATGTGACTGGCATGAGGCGCTGTCCGTGGTCCTGAATCACAGCTGCACAGTAGGGCAAAGTGCTTTCTCAACCCTGGGATACCAGAGATGGCTGTGCAGCAATACCAAGAATCATAAAGTGGGGTAGAAGAAGGGCGGTGGGGCAAGAGGGAAGAAAGAACATGGAGAAACAAGGAGACAGTGGTTGTTGGGAGAGATGTATTTGCTGAGAAATTGCCAGAGTTGGGGCTAGTAGAGAGATTTTGCTTTGATAACACAGTCTTGAAATGATCAACACTAACAAAAACCCTCATGCCCCCTCCAAAAAGAAACCCAGGATTATGACAAAATATAATCCAGCTGAGGGAATTTTTAAAGGGATGTACTAAAAAACTAAAAGCCATGTAAATTTTGATATGGAAATAAAGTTTATATAGGGAGTAAGTCAAAAACATCTCTGTAGAAAGTTTTTGAAAATGTTAGCACTACAAGCTAATTATGTTATTTTTTTGTTTTTATCCCCATACCAGGATAAAACAATGTTGTTTTTATTCAGAGACAGAACATAGAATACTTGATGTTATGGTTCACCATCTCCATGTTTCTCTCTGCAGAGCCGTGGTAATGGTGGGGACTGGGAGGGGAACTTAGACTTCCAGTCTATACTCATCCTTACTCTTACTGAGTTAGTGCCAAAAATGTATGGCCTTTGTGTTTCTGGGATCAATGTAAGAACTAGCCTACAAAGGCACTGTATATTCAAGCCACAGCAAGACAAAATGACCTGTGACCCAAAGTCAAGTGGCTACCTGGCAGACATTAACCTTTTCCATACTTGCCAGAGTTGACCATCTCCAGAGACTTACCTTTCAGGTTGTCACTGAGGTAGATCTTGTACCTCAGTGAATTGCAAAGAACGACTCCCACAAACTTTCTGTACCACGTCCGCTTCACGTATTGCCTTCCGTGGCAGTCGGTGTGGCCAGGGTCGTGTTTGAAAGCAAATGGGATCCAGATGGGCTCACCACCTGGGCAACACAGACACTCCTTGAGGACACTGTCCACGCTGCTTATTGCGGCTCAAACTCTCAGAAAGTTCCTTGGGCTTCCCTTCCTCTAGGGCTTTTGGGGTGAAGGGCTCCCTTATCCAGAAGAAGTACTCTCTTTCTCTCTCCCCTTCTTTCTTGCACTAAAGTATAACAGTCGTCTCTTTTACCTGAGTATAGTTTTGGCTTTTGTATTCTTGGATTAAGAAAGCCTTTAAACCTCAAAGGAAAGTAAGCTCTATGGGAGGACATGCCACCCTACCCCCCATTCCTGAAGTTCCTCAGCCTTCTACTGGTCTTGTCACTCATCAATCCTGCTATGAAGCCAATGGAGCTTTCTCAGTTTGTTTCAAAAAATGCAGTAAAAATTTATTATATACGTACACATTTTGCTATTATTTCATTTATTTGAAATGTTCAAAAGGATGATGTAAATATTACATGTAAATATTTCATAGATATTGGCCACCCCATAATGATTTTGCTTGTAGACATCAGTTGTTTGGGCTCTGTTAAAAAATCTCCAGATTGTTTTTTTCCCTGGATCACAATAGGCTTTCCAGGGAAAGCCTGGAAATTGGCAGAATACTATAAAAATGTAAAAATGGTTCTGCATTTTCACTTAGGATTAATCCCAACAACCTCCTATTCAATATTCAATGTGACAACTTTATCAAGAAGAGAAACTTACCTGGCGGCCTCACAACAAGCAGTGGATTATCTGTAGCATGAAAAAGAAACCACTGTCAGTATCATATTTCATGATCACGGAATCATTAAATGGTTATTGTAATCACAAGAATTAAACAGACTAAAATACAAACAATGAAATGGTATTTCATAAATGACAACATCTCCCCTTAGTTTTCATTTTCTAAGCATTTCCTTTTGAGGGATGGTCTAATTGTATCTCCTTGCTATTTATATAGAAACTTTTTGTGGGCTTATATGCGAATTTCATTTATATGTAAATCCCTAAAAATAATATCTTGATACTGGCTACTACAAAATATTTCCACATTCATTATGTGTGAAAATGTGTCTATCTCGAAAAAAGGTTGGTGCTTTTCTAAAAAGGTAAATACATATCTACTGTATGGTTCACCCACTCCTCATGAGGTATTTATCCAAGAGACGTTAAATCGTGTCTATACAAACACATGTACGGGAATGTTCTCAGCATCTGTCATGGTAATAGCCAAAGCCACAGAGACAGCTCAGGTCTACCAACAGGTGAATGGATAAACGGATTATGGCACAGCCTGTCTGGCATTCTGTAGAATGAACTCCTGACACAAGCAATGTGTGGGGCTTACAAGGATTAGGCTGGTCAAAGAAATCAGTGGAGGAGATAGTTGGGCGGGTGCCGACATTCACCTCCATGGTGGTGGAGGTGGCTTGGATGTGCACACCTGCCTGGACATGTTCAGCCGTGCCCTGGAGGACGTGCACCTGGCTGGGCCAGTCATGCCTCCGTGAAGCTGCTTTGAAGCCATCTCTGTGTTAGCGCAAGAAATACCACTCATGCTAAAAGGAAAGAAGCTCTGAAGGAACTCTATTGTAGAGAAAGCTCATTTCCATAAAATGCTTCACACAGCTGGCCCTCCTCCCCGGCGCCCCTCCTCCTCCTGCCCTCTAAACTTATCCGACGGCAAGCGCTGACTCTCCTCCTCCTCCTCCAAACTTAGCAGAGAGCAAACTGCTCTTGCAGCGTGCACAGCCCAGGAAGCCATCCCAGGACCACTCACAATCAGGATTCAGAATATTCCAGCAGCCACATCTCCGTGGCCCACGCCACGCGCCGGCACCATCCACGCGACACACTGACCCGCCACTAGCGATGTGTGGATGCGCTTGTTTGCTCCCTGCTCTTGAGTTCCAGCAGTCTGCCGAGAAATCTCAAGTCCCCGGGCGTGGGGTGGAGCTAACAGCCACATGATGCAACCCCAGAGCCTTCCGCTGCCCGTGGGCGCTGGCGGCTTCCCAACCAGGCCACGGCTCGCGGTCACAGGAGCCACGACCTGCTGCTCCTTGGGCTTCCTGTCGTTCCCGTAATGGCTTTGTCAGTCGTAAAAACAAAGGAGAGACTTGAGGAAACCGCTTGCGCCGTGTGGACGTGGCGGAGCAGACGACGTCACACTTTTGCACACGTGAGCCCCCCCACCCCCCGGGGGTTTACTGAACGTGAGTTTCCTCAGCCTCACCCGAGACAATGTACTCCGAGTCCCAGAGGGGCCTGGGTTCTCGTCCCCGCCCCGGGGGCACCACGTCCAGGGCGGGCAGGTGGCTTGTCTCTCGGGAAGTGGGTGACCGAGAGCTATTGTCTCAAAATGTTACACTGCAGTCTCAGAAGTTAGATTTATATCGGTCTTGACTGCTTTTTGTGGACCTGGATGACTTTAGTAATAGACCTTTAACATGTTCATTCTGGAGATGCCAAAGTGTCGTTTAGTTTTAGGAAATACAGCCACAGACGTGTGCTTGACTCAAGCAAATTAGCCCTTGATAATGATTTCACTTCCTCTTTCCTAGAGGCGGAGGAGAAATGCACTTTCTTGATGAAACAGGTGAAAGTGCTTTGGAAGGCCTGTGCCTATCTTTCCAGTTCAGAACTTAGTCCCACAAAAGATTTTATTTTTTCTCCCTATGCTGATCCTATACTTTCAAATCTCCACTGAACTGCACCTTCCAGGGACGAGAGCCCCGTCGCCAGGCGGCACACAGGAAATAATCTCGCCACGCGTGTGCGTGGGGCTGGCCGGGTCGTGCCCTCGGGGGCTCTGGCGTGGACCTGCGGACAGAGCTGGGCCTCTGAGAGGAGAGGTGGCAGGGTCGGGCATGCAGGTGGTCACCGGCCCTCTGGAGAGGGCTTCGGGCCCCAGCCACGGGCGAGCCTACTGGTGAGCCCGGCCCCCATACACCAGCACCCAAATGGGGTTTAATCAGTCTCCACGTAAGTGAAGGCATCTCTGTCTCCTAGTGAAGGAAGCCTCGCAGGGGTGGACTCACTGGAAGAAGCAATTGCCTCTGGGCAGGAGACAGTTGTGCTCCTCAGCTGTTTGCAACAAGAACAAAATCACTCTGTAACTATCTCTCCCACATTTTTCTCCCTTATGGGAACGTGAGCTTTCTACTTGCCAGCATGCCCAAAAAAGGCTACTTTGATTTCATTATCTAAGTTTTAACCTGGGGAAAGAAAATAATGCTGATTATTGATTGACTCGCATTGTTTAAAGGACAGGCTTATTAGGAAAAGGGGGAAGAGAGAGAGGCGCCTGCAAACCCCCGGGGGCAGGAGGCCTTAATGCCGACTTGAGGCAGCCGACTGGCTCATTACTCAGACACTAGTTTTTCTCTGTCACAGTTGTGATTCCGGGTTATTTCAAGAAAAGGAAATATGAGAATGTGAAGTCGTTCATACCTGATTCTGTAACAAAAGAGACCGAGGGGCTGACGGGTCCATAACCATGAGGATTTTTGGCTTGAACCTTAAAGTAATACCTGAAATTGGAAGAAAATAGTTTTTGAAACACCAGTGGGACTTCGTGTGCCGAGATTGGCCCCCGAGCCCGGGGGTGACGCTGCATGGCCCCCTGGAGCCCGACTCACCAAAAATGCGTGCCCTCCCCCCTCCCCACCTCCGCTGTTTCTTCCTATTTTTTCTGAACTTACTCATTTTTTGAATAACTTTTCTTTTCTTTACATAGAAGAACTGGGGTACAGGCCAGAGGTGCAGAGCAGGGGCTGAGATGGTTCACCAGAGCCAGAGTGGGGAGCAGAACAGGTGGATCTACTGAAATCCACAGCTGAGGGAAGCAGTGGGGAGACAGGAGGGGCCTGCTGAGCCCTGTGGGTCACTCCCTGGCTGGGAATCGAACTCAGGCCGCAGTGGTGATAGTGCTGAGACTTAGCTCCTAGGCCACCAGGGAGGCCCAGAATGACTTTTCAAAATACTGCAATGAGCGGCACAGACGTGGAGTTAAAGGGAACAGAACAGGCACGTAGACAAGCAAGGCCCTGGGGTGGGCAGGTGCCTCAGGGGTGCAGGGCTCCCCGGGTGAGATGCTCGTTTCTCGCCCTGCTCTGGTCTCAGCTCGAGCCCCACAGGCAGGGAAGGAGCCGCTGGAGCAGCAAAGCACATTTGACTTCTAACTGCATTCATATCACTGGACCCTGGAAGAGTAGGGCCAGCTCCGATGAAACTCGCGTTTGGTAGAGAGAAGGGGACCCGCCCAGAGGCTGCCCCTGCAGTGGCACTGACCGGCGATGAGGCTTTGGCGGTGTGTGTGTGTGTGGGGGGGCACGTTTGGCTCTGCAGCCTGAGAACTCCCTGAGTTTCCAGGCCTGTGCCTCGAAGCAAGGGAGGAAGTGGGAACAGTCTGGAGAGGTTTTGCTGTGGGATTGATCTTTGTGCTGCAACACAGAAAGTGCTAGAAAGCACATTGTCCGAATAAGCTGGGTCATCTAGGGGAAGGCTGAGAAGCCAAGTGAGTAAGGGCCCCAACAGCAGACACTTGCATTTCCGTGAGTGATGGGACAAGACGTAGCGGTCAGGAGAAGCCGGGACCCTCCAGGACCCTTCCCAGCTGTCGCCAAGCTGCTCCCCAGCCCCGGGACCCCACTCTCCTCTGCTCTCTCAGTCCTTAGCTACTCACAGGAGAAGGGGATGAGGTTCCCCGGCGCGGCGGCTGTCCACCACGTTAGAGCGCTTGGACGGGCCTCTTCCCTAGGCCTCCCGCGGGCTAGACTCACCCTCAGTGCTACAGAGTGACTTGACTGGACCACGCAGAAGACAGGCACCCACGAGTGCTCTGCGAGGGTGTCCCGGCGAGTGCCGCGGCCCGTGTTCTCCGGCCCTTCTACCCTGCAGGCCCTGCCCGTCGGGCGCTCAGTGGGCCAAGGACGAACAGAAGTGACAGGGACTCTGGAGGCCCCGTGGGACCAGCCTGTCCAGCTCTGGCCTCTCTCCTCACCCTCCACACCAGCTGGTTTTCCTTCCACAAACGCCAGGCTTTTGAACAAATGCTGCCTGGAACAGCGTGGCCTCACTGGGCCCCACCTTCTCAGGTTCCCGGAGTCTTCTATGGCTCCCCCAGGAATGTTCACATCTCCTTCCCTCTGGGTTCAAATGCACCCAACTGGCACATGAAATGAGGCACTCAACCAAGACCCCATGGAAGGCTGGATGGGAGACCCCACCGGAGCTTGTCCCAAGGGACGACACAGGGGAGCCCCCACCCTTGTGTCGGGAAGGCTAATCAACACCACAGGGGCTGCGTTCGCCCCGGGACCACGGCCTCATCCGAGGCCTGGGAGCCACCCATGGGGCGCAAGGGGGCTGCATGCACTGTGTGGTAACTTGGTGCAGATCCTGTGAAAATAGGGTGAAGCCTCCTCAAGAACTAACATTCTGGGCCCTCCCTGGTGGTGCAGCGGGTTAAAGCACAGCACTGAGAAGCTAAAAGCCACTTCTGCATGAGTTCAATCCCCGCCTGCCCCGGAGGTGACCACAGGGCGCGGCAGACCTCTCCTGACCTGCCCGCTGCTCCCCTCGGCAGTGGACTTCGTCCATCTGCCTGTTCTGCTCCCCACTCTGTCTCTGGTGAAGCCTCTCACTGCCCCTGAGCCTCTGGCCTGCACCCCAGTTCTGTATGCACAAATAAATAAATCTTAAAAACAAACAAACAAACAAAACGAAAATGTCATGTGGCTCAGCAATCCAGCTTCCAGGTATTTTCCCAGAGAATGTGAAAACAGTGGCACGAAGGGACCAAGTGCCCAAGTCCAAGGCCATTGTCATAGCAGCTGTGAGCAAGCACAAACACCCGCTGACAGGCAGCTTGGTGAAGAGACTTGGCCTGCGGCTCAGTGGAATACTAGTAGGCTTTCAAAAAGGCGACACGGTGCTGGTGGGGTGCAGTGGGGTGGAGGTGGCTGTGCTGAGTGAAATAAGCCCAGAAGAGGATGACAGATCCAGGCACTTTTACTCATTGTGAACTATAAATAACCAAAGAAAACAAGTTGGCAAAGCCCACCCCAAAATAACTCTTGGACACTGTGTAAAACCATCACAGTGACCAGAGGGGCTGCCCAGGGAGGAGGGGTGAAGATGGGAGAGTGTGGGGCTTTGGTGGGGGGCGGGTGGGCATGTGCGTGCTGCATCCCCAAGCCCTGTAGTCATGTAAGCAATTGGCAGATCAATAAAATACAAGAATAACTCTTAAAAAAGTTTTTGGAGAAAACAGGAAAACAGCAAAGGCCCACGGCAAGTTCTTCACGGGGTTGGAGGGCTTTTTGTGGGGCGGTGTCTGGCCTTTCTCTGTAACAAAGGTGTTTTGTTGCAACCTTCTGTGTTTCTGAGCACAGAACACACAACCCCGGCCACCGGTGTGACCTTGAGTCCCCTTGAGCTGGGCGCTGCACAAGCCCGGCTGCGTCAGGCGCAGGAACCGTCTCAGGCCTGTTCCAGTGGCTGACGCTGCCTACCGTGTGTTCGGCTTCAGGTTCTCGATGGGCAGATGCGTCACCGAGGAGGCCTGCGTGGACCACTTGTTCCTGATGAAGTCTTCGTAGGAGGCGCTGTAGACCAGGTAGCCTGGAGGCGGGAAGAAGCAGCTAGTAGGCGTCGAGGCACCAACGAGGTGTCGGGGTGGGGGGCAGCAGAGTCACTTCTGGGGGGAGGAACCTCTGGTTCCAGCTGCCAATGGCCGAGCTCAGGACACTCTTGACGATGGCTGATTCCTGGCCTCTGTGTACCCCTCTGTCCTCCTGAGCCTCCCACACGCCCAGGCTGCTCAGCGCCTCAGGCCTGGCACACCTCATGCCAACAACACAGGAAAGAGCCGCCCAGCAGAGACCTGGTCTCCCTGTGGTGTTTCCTGCTGAGAGACACATTCCTGCACCAGAGACCCCTGGGCGTCCTCACCCAGTGGGGGAGGCCCGTGGCAGCAGCGGGCAGCTCTCTGCCTGCTTTATGTTGTCATGGGCCCTCAGGGCCACCCTAGACCACATCTGTCAGCATCCAGGCTGCCCTGGCACTGGGCTGCAGCTTGGCACCTGTCCCGCACTCGATCCCTCATGCTAGACACACAGGGAAAGTATCTGTCAAGCGCTTCCGATGTGCCGAACATGCTGCTAACTTATGCTCTCAGCACAGCGTCCTGGGATTCCTTCTCTCTGTCGGAGCATGTCAGCACCTCCGTGGACACCAAGGAGAGTAGCCACAGAGGTCCAGTGTCTTGTCCAAGTTCACACTTGCTGGTTCCTTCCACAAATATTTACCGTGTGGCTACGCCTGTCAGACACCACAACCCATGCAGGAGGCCAAGAGGACAGGACACGACCATAAATTGTTAAGGGGAAGGCTGTCCTAAAGGAACTCTGCAGAGGTCTGTGGACTCCGCCCCCTGCTCCAGCTTTCTGGACTTCGCCCCTGCTCCGGGGACTGGAAACTACAACTCCCAGCAGCACCAGGGAGAGAACTGCAAGGACCCCAGGGCGGAGCTAAGCAGCATTCTGGGACTTTGAGGGATAAACAGGGAGCCATTTTCAATGGCTCTGGTGGGACAGGCAACATCTCTCTTGCTTGGGCAATGGCTTTTGGGACCGGGTGGCTGGGGCTAGCAACTAGTTTGTTCCCAGAGCTCCGAGTCAGCCGAGCCGGTAAGATGTTCCAGTTACCTTGTATCCCGCTCTCTTCCCCTGGGTTGTTCCTTTCCCTTTCCCCTTTTGCAGATAAACCCATTATTGACCCTTTTGTGTGTGTCTGAGTACAACTGAATTTTAAGTGTGCGGGTGAGGCCCCACAGACAGGCGGCCCAGTTCACACGCGGGTGCCCTGTAACGGCTACACCTGTCAGACACTGCACCCAATGCAGGGGGCCGAGAGACCAGGACGCAACCACGTGGCAGCACCCTGGGGGCGGGGAGGCGCAGGAAGCTCCGAGTCCTCCAGGAGGAGCGCAGGCAGCTGGGGAGCCTTGCACTTGGTGGACTCCCTGGCCACGCCAGGACTGGGGGCTTTCAGACATGGCACTTTTGCGTGGAGGGAACCGCAGTCCAGGGGATGAAGTCACACAGGGCGTGCACCCAGCCTGGGGCTAGAATTCAGGGCTGGGGCTTCCTCCCGGGGCTCCAACTGCCGCACGAGGCTGCCTTTGGGGCCCACATCCCGTCCGTGTTCCCCACCACCGGCCCGAGGGGACGCCAGGCAGCGGCCCTGCACGCACCTGTGACCACGTCTCCCGGAGTGGTTTTGTCCCAGTCCACAATGACAAACGAGTGGCACCCTTCCATGGCCACCACGGTGATGTTCCGCGGAGCATGCTGAGGGGGCCGGTCGGTCTTCGTCAGGTCATTCGGGATGATTTCATCCAGGCTTTCCACTTGGAAGTGATCCAGTGCGTCGGTCAGGGAGCACGGGGTCGCGGGGTCCTTACTGAGGTACGTCACATGGGGGGCTGGAAGACAGCAGGCTGCTCAGGCAGGGCTGGGGCTCACGCCTCCTCAGGGCAGGCGCCTGACTTCTGCTCTGCCAAGTCAGGCTCACATTCATTCCTGAGGCTCCGGGCCCAGCGCCACACCAGACACCCCCAATGGACCCATGCAAATACCCCTTTCGATCTGTGGGGCACAAAGTCTTCTAGAGCTCAATCAAGGCCAATGAGTCGCCTGCAAAGTGATTTGAAAGGAGCCCCGAACAGTGAGTCTGCAGCGCCCTGTCAGTCCTGTACCCAAACATTCAGCAAGTGTGAATGCGGCCCACCTGGCACAGTTCTCTCCACATGGTGTACTCCTTGGACTCTCTTTAGACCGGGGGAAACATGCAGAAATGACAGCGAGGCCCCTACAGGTGCCCGCGGCCTCCCCAGAGCATGAGAAAACCCCACCTGCAACGTCTGCCCAAGGTCAGGCCTGAACAGCCTGAAAAGCGTGACATCTGAGATCGGTAATAGCTACTCACATTACGGACGCGATCAAGCTTTTGCTACCCATATGGTCTTGGTGCATTCAAGGGTGCTGGGGGTGATGCCCCATATTCCAGACGAGCTGAGACCTTGAAAGGGTGCCCACGAGGTAAGGAGATTTACCTCCAGCCCACAGTTGTCATTAGAAGTTAGAGAGGCCTAGGAGCTGAGGGTAGGGCTGTCTATATGCAAGACTCTCAAATAAGGAGTTCTAGAACTTTTTAAATGTTCCATGACATCTCTGGGTACTAGCTTCTCACTCTCAACTGCCGTTAAGACTGGAAGCAATTTCTAGATTCTCTACTTTTCCAATACTGTGTATAATAACCTTAGGTCTTTTGAACTTGTCACGAGTCTCGTCATGTTTCAGGGAATTGTCTACATGCTTTGCAGTCACAGACATGAAGACAACCAGACTACAGTGAACATTTCAGCCTTCGGAAGAACCTACTGATACCGGAACTGCAAGCATTTCTCATGGAACTCTTGAGAGAAGAGTTGGAATGCTTGGCGGATTTGGTCAGTGAGCCAGCACCTCCCGCCCCGGAACGCCACTGCCATGGACTGCATGTAGCCTGGTCACTTGATGCTACATCTTGGCAGGCAAGTGCTGTTCTCTGCTAAAGGCAGGACATTTGTTTTGGAAACAGAAACGTGCCATGTTAGCTTAAGCTATCGCTTGTCTCCAGTGATTTTCTTCCACTTGGTCATATTAATCTGTCTCGTTAGAGGAGGTCATTAAGGACATGGGAAAATCAGACTCCCAAAGGGAATGTAGCACATTTAATTCAGTAGAATTTCCTTTTGAAAATGTTTTCATGACTGAGAGAGGACTCAAATAAATGTCTAGGTCCAGTTCCTTGAGGCTAATGAAAATCATAAAAAATAACTGGTGAGAAACAGCTGTGCTCTGTGGCACTGAAGTACCAATAGCTCGAGCCGATAAAGAGCTCTTCTTGCAGGGGGGTGTTGATCCCTGAGCGTGGGCTCAGGGCACAAACCTAAAGAAAGCAGCTGACACTAAAAATGCTCGTGTCCTCGGTGCAATGACTTCTGGGGTGCCAGACGGTCGCCCTAAACTCACCAACAGACTCCAGGTGCCCTCTTTCCTGCCTTCTGCAGGGAACAAGCTAATGCGCCCCCAGCAGACTCACCAAACACTCCAAGTGGAAACTCTGTCCCCCCCAATGTGTGGCCATGGCCAGCCCGGGGTTAGCGAAGTTCTTCACAGAACAGCGAAAACCCCGGCTCTTTTGATTAAGGAAATTCTATTTACCAATAAATCGCTTCTTTCCGGCCAGATCGAATTCTTCTTCAGGAAAGGAACTCACAGAACCTTCTGGAGGGATGATCCTGGGCACGGCAGCCGAGGTGGAGGGCCTGCTGGTGGCCGGTGGCCTCGAGCTCTCAAACTCATAATCTGAAATGAACGAGTCGGTCACTGGGCACTTCTAGAGCAGGACGCGGCCTGCCGTGGAGATGCCCACGTGAGATTTGGCTCCGTGTGACGGTGCACGCAGCAGGCCACGACACGCACACCCACGCAGGTACACGTGGTCACACACCCCTGAGGTGGTGCCTGCCTTGACTGGTTTCTTAGTAACCCCAGCCCATTCCCCACTTCGGTCCCATCAGCAAAGCAGCTGCACAAGAAAAGAGAGGGCAGGAAACAGAAACAGGCCAAAGGGAGAGAGTAAGAATCAAAAGAGAACTTAGAATTCGTCCAGTTTAGCCAACGCTGGCCCAAAGCTGTTGCCTGCACGTTTCCTCTCCTGGGAACATGAAAGATTTACGGCAGAAAACAAACTTGGTATTTTTTCATTTATCATCTGGCTGTGCACTTTTTTTTTTTTCTGGGGAAAAGGGAGGATTAGTACTATTAAGAGAACTAAGCCTTTAGCAGTTAAAATCAAAAATAAAACTCTGCTCCCCTTCCAGTCAGGGAAGGCATGACCGTGCAGTGTTTTCAAAGAAGCGAAGAAGCTTCCTTTGTTTCTGCGTATCTACTTTTCTTTGAAGGTGATTTTTGTTTGAAAACCACAGATGCAGTCATGACACTGAACTTAGGTTGCACCCAAGGGGGCCAGCAGGCAGGTGGAGCAGAGCTCCAAGAAGAGCCTGAGTTTGGGGGTGGCGGTGGGGGAAGCCGAGGGGTCAGGGAGCCCACTGCTCCTCACCTGGCCAAGGCCAAGGCATTTGCTTTCTTTCTTTCTTTCTTTTTTAAGATTTATTTACTTATTCATACAGAGCTGGGGTACAGGCCAGAGATGCGGAGGGTGAGAGGATTCACCAGAGACAGAGTGGGGAGCAGAACAGGCAGATCAAGGAAGTCCACTGCTGAGGGGAGCAGCGGGCGGTCAGGAGAGGTCTGCCGCGCCCTGTGGTCACCTCTGGGGCAGGCGGGGATCAAACCCAGGCGGAAGTGGCTTTAGCTTCTCAGTGCTGTGCTTTAACCCGCTGCGCCACCAGGGAAGATTCTACGGTAAGAGGCGAATACATTGACCCCATCGCAATTTCTATGAAATTATAAATGCGGAAAAACCGTGCTCTCTTTAACCACACAGCTTGTCTTGAAGCTGGGTGGCACCTGGAATGGGGAGCTCAGCTGGAGGGGTTCCCCATTCTTTAGGCAAGGAAGGTCTGGGAGGAAGGAGTGCGCAGCACGGGCCTGTCTGGAGGCACGTCTGCAGGTCGGGCCTGGCTGGCTCAGAGCCCACATGGCTGGGGGACGGTGAAGGGCCGCCCCCGCCCCCCCAACCCTCCCACAGCCCCCGTCCGGAGGCGCCTATGCCCGAGGCCACCTTCGTGGTCGTTACGGAACGATGCTCTGATCAGGAAGGAGAGGGTCTATGTAATGGGCTTCGGCCAGCTCCGCACCTTCATCGTAGACCACGTAGGCCTCTTCTGTGGGTGGGAACAAGTCTGGGTCTTTTCCGGAGAAGTCTTCTGCGGAGAGAGGAGGCGGTGGCGGGGTCACCACGGGCCTGGGTCTCGGGCGCTCTGACTCCCGCCCAGGGCACGGCCATCCACTCCCCTTGTTGTCCGTCAGAGCAATCCTCCCAATAGCAATAGAGCCAGGTCCAGGTTTCCCCAGCTCTTCCAGGAGGGAGGGTCAGACCCCGAGACGCACCAGAGCAGGGCCCGCGGATGCCCGGGGTCCAGCGAGAGCCTGGCCCGCAGCGCCGCCTGACTGACCTGCTGCGTGGCCTGTCCACCCACTGCCCCGCCAGGCAGCTCTCAGCAGGCAGAGGGCAGGGCCCCAACCTGCTCAGAACAAGCAGCTGGGAGGTGCTGAGGCTGGGACAAATCTCCCCCAGCTCTGCTCCTTGCGCCCGCACTCCCTCGCTCCCTGTTCTGCAGGGCCCAGCTGGGTGCGCTCCCACCTCTCTGCAGCCTAACGTGGGCCGGCACACACGTGGCTCCCCCCAGCCGCCACCCTCTGCCACCTACTCAGGAGATGAAGCCTGGAAATGAGTTTCTCTTTAAAGATGGGCTGGGGGCCTGGAGAGGAGTTATAAAGGCCCCACTCTTCGGGGGCAGGATGGTCATGTTGAGAAGAACTCTTGGGTTGGTTTTCCTCAGGCCATTCCAATGTCACTATGGGAACTGCACCTGGCTGATGCAAACCAGTTTTCAAGTCCACACCCCAAAGACTGGGGCTAGCTCGTCGTGGCTCACCACTTTTCTTTCCCTTGTCAGCTGAACGTCTAAGAACACAGCCTTGTTTTTCATACTGACAGATCAGGTTCATTATTTTATTTTTTTATCAGGTCAAAAATGGGGAGGGTGAATGTATTATTTTTGCACCCCAAAGCAAACAAGTACACCCCGCACTCTCAGCCCCCGGCCAACAGGGGTCACTTCTAGACGATTCCAGCAGAAGGGAGCTACTGTGTGACTTAGTGCTCTTTGATTTTGAAGACCAAGTCAAGTCAGACATAATTTTCCTAAAATGTACCCTCTGCTCCAAATAAAAGGAACTACTTGATGTTATACAAATATATTTGCATTAGAATTTCTGCACCTATGTGCCAACCGGAAGCTCTCAGAACAACATAAAACTGGCCGTTTGTTAAGTCAACCCAGCATTGAAGGCAAAAGTTTCCACCTCTGTTTTAGAAGTAGCTGCCAGACACAACCATGGTGGCTTGGTACCATGTCCAAGTGGTAATGAAAAAACCCAGTGTAATCTGTCACCCAAGATTTAGGGCCTTAGCTTTAGAGAGATAAAAAAACAAAACAAAACAGCCTTATAAAAGTATTCTCAGTGGAAGCTTAGAGAGAAGGTAAACCGCAGCCACTTGAAACCCAAGTATTGAACTGTCCAATTGTTCCAGCTCAAGTGACTTTTCCACTGATTTCTCTATTTTCTGTCTTGAGAGGGAGTTGTGTCAAGGACACATAATTACTGGGTTGTGTCCCAAGGTCACACACAAGGTCACAGCTTTGGGGAATGCTGGCCCTGTGTCTCAGTTAAATTTTTGACTTGAGTTGTGACAAGTGTTATCAGATAGAACACAAGACACCCACTTGCTGTTTCAATTTTGGAGAACAAGCACATAACTTTTCACGCACACATAAGCTAAGCAATGTTTCTGTTTGTTCAGTCTGCCAACCTTCATCCTGACGCAGCCAGTGGAGCTAAACTTGACAGGTCAGAAGCACCTCTAGCTGCTGAGAACCTGGCCCTTCCCACTTCCCCCGTCCACCTGCCCC